TTTGCTCATTCTAGCTCTTGAACCATAGTAAATTTTGCTTATGCTGATGTTTTTTGTTTTTTTTTTTTTCTTTTTTGAATAAAACACTATTTTCCTTAGGATGTTTAAAAGAAAAAAACTGAAAAGAAATTAAAAATCTCATTTTAAGAACCAGAGGAAGTTTTCAAAGGAACCATGAGCCAAGAGTGTTGCCTAAGAGGTTATTTCAGTCCCATGTTGGGACTGAAGTGAAGGGCTGAAGTTCTTCATCTGACACAGCTGGAATAGTTTCTTTGGATCATGCTTCAGAGTCTTGATTCTTATCCAGAATCTATTGATATAATTTGACTGTTTTTTTTTTTATCTTTCCTGACATCTTCTGAAAGATTGAATTACTCCGACACCAAGAAGAAAAAAATAGAATTGTCAGAGCTAAGTCAGAGCTTAGAGCTAAGACCTACCTACTAAAATGTTTTGTCTCCTTTACTGTTCACATTTAAAGTGCTTGAGAGATTTCACCTTCACCTACAGCAGTGCCTATAAAGCTGTGCTGGAGAAATCGTTGGATACTCTTTTTTTTTTTTACATGGTTACTGCCCACCTATAGTTTCCAGGACAGTATTTTTATTCAGATATCTAGCAGAAAAGTACCCATGTAGCTACTGGGAGCTGAAGAGAAATAGGTGAAAGATGTAACTTCACCTTCCATAGGCTTTTCTATTTGACCTCGAATCCAGTTATCACTGTGGCAACTTTGATAGCCAAGGCCAAGTAGCAAAGGACTTGGCCCATGGTTACCCCCAGTACTGCTCAAGACAGACAGATAAGACCTGAACATTTCTGTAGCTCCTGCAGACTCTGACAATCCTTTGAACTGTGTTTAACTAAAAAATGTGCACAATGTCTTTCTTCACAGTAGCAGTCTGTGTAATAATCCTCTAACAATCGTTGGGGTCCTGTGGGAAGGAAAGCTCTCATTAGCAAAGACTTCGCTACATACGTAATTCCACATGAGAGTAGAATTCACTATTGCTGAACTGCTGTAGAATTCAGAGCTACAGAAATCACATCCAAAAAAATATCTCCATCGTCTTTCTGCTCAGAACCTAATAGTGCCTGCAGGAAAAATGCTGCCCTGACAAATCCGGCACAATTCTTACATGATATTTCATGCGTTCCGGAAGAGCTTAGTGAGGGAGATGTTACTGAGTTTCAGCTAGCTATACTTCCTGGATATGCCCAGGAAAGTGGATTGCTGTTTACTAGCAGAGGTTAATGGGAGCCAACCGAAGCTGGTCACACTTTCCCTTTATTTACACTTTTTGGGTGGGAAACATGAATAGGTGTGTTCTTCAGCTACATGCTGAAGAGCACATGCAGTGTGCTCTTCTGTCCACTGCTGCGAAGGATACCAAAGCCCCAAATCACTGCATTCACAATAGGGAAAAAAAAAAAAAAAAAAAAGAGGAGTAAGTAAAGTGAGCTCTTACCAAGATATCCAGAAAGTCTACTCTAGGCTTTTCTGGAAGGATATGCCCTATGAGGAAAGGCTGAGAGAACTGGGCCTATTCAGTCTGAAGAAGAGATGGCTGAAGGGGGACCTGTTCAGCCTCTATAAATACCTCAAGAAAGAGAGTGAGGAGGATGGGACTGGTCACTTTTCAGTGGTGGCCACTGGAAACAGCCACAAATTGAAGCACCAAAAGTTCCACAGGAACTTAAGGAAAACGTTCTTGTTAGTGAGGGTGACAGAGCCCTGGAACAGGCTGCCCAGAGAGGCTGTGGAGTCTCCTTCTCTGGAGATCTTCAAGACTTGCTTGGATGCAGTTCTGTGCCACGGGCTCTCGGTGACCCTGCCTGAGCAGGGGGGTTGGACTAGATGACCTCTAGAGGTCCCTTCCAACCTTAAGGATTTTATTATTCTATGATTCTGTGAAGGAAGGATAGTTATTTAAACTTTTATCCCAGTGAAAACACATCTTGGCAAGCAAAATTCCCATCTCTATTGCAATATGATCAGTCATGAGCATTTTGTCAATTGGGAGATGAATGCGTTGCCCTATCACCATCCCACCAGCTGGACTGTTGACCTACCAACAAAAAAGCAACACTATCTTGTTTCCTGATCATAGTCAAAACTATGATTTCCTGTTGACTTTTCTAGCCTTCAATAAAAACAGTTATAATATGCAGGTTGTCAGGGTTATCACTGAGGAGGAAGAAAGAGGGGGTTGCTACGTCTCTCTGGGTTATTTATTTACTTATTTATTGAATGTGCAAAATGAACCATGAATTAGGCCTCAAATCTGAGTCTCTCAGTTGACCTTGATTTACTTAAATATCTTTAGTCGTTAAATTAACAGCCACCAAACAGAGATGAACACCTCCAGGGCTGATACTTGCTGGTGTTGTTGACTAGAAAGGAAGGTAGAAATCAGTCCAGACTAAGCAAATCAGTTTTTTCTGGGTAAAATGAGGTGAGATACATCCCACCATAAATATAGGTCTGAAGCATTATTTTAGAAAGCTTAGCATATCTGAGGCAGTTAGATAGGGCTGGCAAGTACAACATAGGATCTACATGGAACCATGCCCTGCTGGAGTGAGTGCTGTTGACCAGGAAGGATACCTTGAGACCTGTTGTTTGAGACTAAATGTCTTTATTCAGGAGACTAAATCCCACCTCAGTGTCCAGCTCTTCTTGAAAGCAGTGGGGATTGGTCGCCTAAATGCTTCTTCAGTCTTCAGAGCCTTCCACCGTGTTTAAAATCTCACAAGTTGGCACCAGCACTAGGAAAGCCAGTTTGCCTGTGTCTTCATATTTTAGTTATTGGATACTGTTTTTCCATCGCTATTTACCCAACATAGACTGGGACTGGATTGAGAAAGACAACGTTTTTAAAATTACAGCTGTACAAATTTGCCTGACTCTGTCAAGAGCCCACTTTTCTGAATTCTAATGAGGCATCAGCCCCTGCTTTTTGAAAGGCAATAAAACATTTGCTCAGAAGTAAATATCAAGCTATAGAGGTAAATATGCAATCAGCTAATCTAGGCTTGAGTTTTTAAGCTTTCACTTACAGCTGTGAAGTACTTATTAATGGGCTCAGGAGAAAATTTGCTGCTTAAAAAAAATGTAAAATTTTGTTGCGAAAGTACACAGTGCTTTGCGAACCTTGATCAACGTTAGAGCTATATGGATTGCTTTATAAAGTGGATAGCCAAGGTATTTATAGATGTGAGATGAATTTGACAATAGTTTAAGTCCAGAGAATTTTAACTTTCCTTGGAAAAAGTCAGAATGTTTTAAAATAGAACATTTTAAGCTTTCTTTTTAAACAATTTTCCTGGAACCCCCTCACTTTGTTTAAAGGTAAAATAAAAAGGGAAGAAACATTAAAAAATAAAAAAAAATGAATTTATGTTATTTCAGATGAGACGGAATATCATTTTTAGAACTGTTTCAGTTTGGAAAAAAGGGAACTTTTGAGTAGCAAAACATCTCCAAACTATTCATCCGCTTATGGGTTAGAAAAACACATTGTTTACACACTATTAATTAAAGCCCATTCCCAACCTAAAGAAAATTGCAATTTGAGCAAAGCATGCAGTGGAAGAGAGGCCAGGCTGGAGTAATAGGAGATTGTGAGAATACAAGTTAATATGCTAAATTACTTTGTAACTTTAATCCAAAGACCAATATATATTAAATAATTGCTCCTTCAAATGATTTTTGGGCCTTCTGTCTTAAAAACTTTGTTGGCAAGTATATAGGTGGAAAATTAAGTTACACATTTTCAAATGAGATATATAAAAATCTTTCTTTCTTTCTTTCCTTCTCTTTCTTTCTTTCTTTCTTTCTTTCTTTCTTTCTTTCTTTCTTTCTTTCTTTCTTTCTTTCTTTCTTTCTTTCTTTCTTTCTTTCTTTCTTTCTNCTTTCTTTCTTTCTTTCTTTCTTTCTTTCTTTCTTTCTTTCTTTCTTTCTTTCTTTCTTTCTTTCTTTCTTTCTTTCTTTCTTTCTTTCTTTCTTCCTGCAATTCAGCAATAGCCAACACTGAATCAGTGGATTTGAACATGGAAAGTCTATACCCATGCCCCTCAGATCTGTCTCAGAATCTCACTCGTGTAACCTTGAGCTGGGTCTCCTGCTCCCTTCACATCATTTCTCTTTCACCCTCTCTTTGCAGCTGAATTTCTAAACAGTTTCTCCAGCTGAATGCAAAATCTTTGAAAGATGAGGTGCCTCTTTGGTTTCATACAGCGCCTTGTGGAATGGTACCTGTATTTCTACTTGCTAATGCCATAGCAGGGAAATCAGGTATTCCCTCCAAGTTGAGAGTATGTTGGTTATGTTAACACAGTTATTTTATGCATATTTTTTCCTGGCTCCTTTTTTGGAGTGCAGACTGTTAGATCCACATTTTGGAAGGAGGTAGTTCATAATGTATGGGATCCAAGGAGTCGCTGATTAACTACCTGGGCATCTATAGACGCTATTATATTACAAACATAATTAGATATTACTGAGGAGAAACTGCTTGGGGAGAAATGTTTTGTCATTGGGAATTGCCTGCTTTTTAGCTGCATGATCTCTTAATCTGCATCTGAAATTTCATTCTTATTGGTTTTTGTTTTGCATTGAGTTAGCAAAAGCCAGAAGGCAGACCGTGTGAGCATGGAGGGAATAAAATGTGTAAGCAGAGACCCCACTGCTCTTGCCATGAATTTTAAAGCTGCCATCTTTCTATCCTAGATAGCTGTGGTATTAGTTAGTCAAAGAGGGCTCTCAGAGGATAACAAAGCAGGACTGCTCCTAGTTGTCAGAAAAAAAAAAAAGAGGAAGTCAAGAGGGTAAATGCTGCCTTTTCATGTGTCACTAGTTTGTTCTGCTTTCTCTCAAGCCAATGTAAAATAAGGCTGGATGCACATCCCTGGTGTGCAGTGACCCGAGAGACCTCGCTGGTCATGGAACACATGCTTGAGATGATTTGGCCTCACTCTCTTCTCTCCTCTTTCTGTAGGCATCCAGCACACGTCCGGAGTGCAGCATCATGCAGGAGATTGAAGAAGAACGTGACCAATGCTTGGCAGAGCTACCTGGGGATAACCACACTTCAGGTATGGGACATCTCTTTTCTCTCCCTGGTCTGTGAGCCACCATCATCCAGCCCCACATCTGCCTATTCTGTGCCATTTCTCACTCTTGCTCCAGAAGCAGAGCAGCAGATGCTGTGGCTGGATTCACTCCATCCAATGTGGGACTCTTGCATTTTGAGGTGTCTGTGGAGAGAAATTGGCACTTCCAAAGTGAGATGCAATCAAAAATGTGAATAGCAACCTGGAGATCACCCACCATATTCTGGTTGGGAAATTCTAGCTTAAGTGTCTCAGTGTGCTCAAACCAAGAGAGGAATGTCTCTTAACTGGAAGTGCCTTTAACAAACTCTTCCCTGGGCTCTGAAAGACCAAAATTCTCATGTGCCCTGGTTTGCTTCAGGTGAAATTATGGCCTCTTAGCTCTTCTATTGAACTGCTCCCATATTCAAGGTTGCTCATATCCTGGAAGCAAAGCAGAGGCAGGATGTGCTTCCCGGCTGCCAGATATCATGCAGTTGGGTCAGGTGGCTTCAAAGCTCCTTGGTGCTCATGTGACATACAGAACACACTATAGCATTTCTCTTGGAAAACTTCACTGGACCCTTATCCTGTCCTTTCCTCAATGATTGCAAGAGGAGGGACGTGAGATTCACAGGAGGCGGGTTCTGGTTTTTTGAGTTAAAAAACAGTGTAGGAACAATGATAGACCATCAGGCTCTGAAAGCAAGGGATCACATTGCCAGGGAAGGGGATGGGAAGATGCATCTCCTGCATGAAATTTGCATTCCACCTCTTGAAAGAGTGAAATAGATGTCTTTTCATCTTCTTTCATTCAATATTGCTCTTTATTAGGGTAGACATAAGGTTTGCTCTGCATACTCTGTATTAATGGTAGAATAAGATTTTTGTGCTAAGTTATCCCTGGAGGAGCTTTGCTGAATGCAAGGGTGGCTTGTGGTCACTGCTTTTATCTGCTAAGTTAAAGCTTCCTTTGATTTGGAAAATATTTCAAATGTCCTTTTACAGTTAAATAGAGGAGCTTGAAGAAATATTCTTTTGGAATCTAGTCAGGAAGGGAAAAGTCGGTATAGGTAAAAAATCATTTGCAAGTCAAATAAATGTTTGTTTTAATTTTCAGGAGCATTTAAAGAAATTAAGTTAAATATAGTTACATTCAAAATAGAAGAATAAATTAAATATCCTTACCTACTTTTTCAAAATGATTTTCCTCATTTTTTCCTCCATTGGAGAATCTTAGTAGCTTAGGTCCTAAATTCATCCAGATATACTCCAAATCATTATTGAAAAATCATTATTTTTCTCCCCTAAATAAATGATTGAAAATATTTTGCTTAGTTCTAATGTAAAAACATTCCCTGATTGTATTTCAAGCCCTTCATATCCATGTAGTAGCAAGTATATGAAAATCTTTTAAGGTTGTTTTTTTTTACTGGAGTAAGAAAGGATTCAATCAATCACTGGATTGAAAGGATTCTGCATTTCCATAACTTACTATCCATTGTCATTAAACCAGACTGATTCTGAAATCACGAGGTGAGCATTGTGAAATATTTTTAGTCATCCAGAGAGCATCTGTTACTTTTGAGTCAATATAAGATGTCATTTGTGTGTGTATGCACATCCTGTGTCAAAAAGGTCAGGGATGGCATCAATGTGGAACAAGTGGGTGTGTGTAGACATGTTTCTGTAGTGCAAGTGTCCAACCAAATCTTACAGTTCCAACTTTGCAGACAGCAGTCTGCAATCATTTGACCTATGCATCAGTTGGCATTTAAGATTTGGACTTCTGAGTCTGAGGTAGGCATTCACAGCCTCATTTCCAACAGAAACCCTCCTCTCCAACGGAAACAGGCATCTTTAAAAACCATAAATCTGGCTTTTCTAATCAATGTCTATGAGGCATCTGATGATGCATCTTCTGAAGATGCCTGTTTTGGAAGTCACTTGGACAAGTAACTTTTAAGTGCCCAGATGGCTTATGTTTCCCCCTTGAAGTGTCCATGGCACAACTATGTGAGCATCAGTAGGAAGAAATGCTGTTTCATTAGCAAGAAGGTGCTGTGTTTCTATACCTTGATGAATGTGACTGAGCACAATTGCAAAATAAAACTTAGGATTGTTATACTTGGGTATAACAGAGTTTTTGCTGCAGAGAGATCTTGCAGCTCCCGAATTATGGGAGCAATTATCATTTAGTCTAAGGAGTGTTGCTGGAAGGAGAAAAATCCTAGCACAAAAGCTCCTTGCTAAATCTTTGAGGAGAAGCATAACTTTAACACAGCTCTGTCCCGTAGGGAAAAGAGAATGAAAAGCAATTGAGATTCCCAGCCATCCACAATGTAATGCTTTGATTTATGAGCAGGTATGTGTATTGCCTTCTGCACATATAACATCCTGTTAGCAAAAAGGAAGTCACTTGAGGTTTGACAACCAATTTATTATCCTTTCTAATTAAATGAGTTGAATTAAGGAAAAAGGCAATTTCAGTACGGTCTAGAAATAAAGCTTTGTTTAGGAGCCATTATCAATTGTATTGATTGGAGGAGATTAATCACAGATGTAATCTGATGTGTCAAATAGATTAGTCATTTATTAACCACACCTGATGACAGCAGTAAGATTGATTGCTAGCTCAAGGTAAGCACTATGAACAATATCCACTTATAAACACTAATGTCTGCCTTAACAATACTTATCTTTGAAAAACCATTCAGTATAATGGGTGTATTTATATTAAATTTCTTTAATGCTTTCTTTTCAAACTAGATCTTTGCATATTCAGAGCTAATAGCAGGTTCCCATTGCTGTTGCTTTTACGAGCAGTCCTGGATCACTTATGAGAAGACCAGACCCTCTGTTCTCTGTTAGGAGTGTGATTTAGTGTCCATGAAGTTGTCAAGTGTAGAGGAGAGACACACAGGGGTCACAGGCAGAGTGGGGTGACCACTGATGAGAAGAGTTAGCTTTTCAGCACAAGAGAGCCTGTGGAAGATGCTACTAGGGAGTGACGAAGCAAGACCAGTTTTAGGCCACAAGCCAAGATATGAATTTGAAGTTTGGACTTTAAAGGAAGTTTCCAGCCATCAGAAGATGTTGAACAGTCTTGCCGGAGATCTAGGGCAAGGAGTTTTATTGATTTCAGCATAGAGCTTGCCCAGTTTATCTAAGGGTCTGCAAGATGTACGTTGCGTGCAAGATTGGATTGCATGTGCTAGATTTCCCTTGCAAACTGGGGAAATGGCCCAGTTAGGAGTGCCCATTGGTTTGAAGAGAGTTAATGTGTTGCTAGAAGACAACTGTGCCTTTACCCATTCCTTTTCTGTAAGGTGATACAGATGTCTCTTTGCTGGGTTTCCGCATGATAGGAAGTCAGTTCTGATTATATAAACACAGCTATAACTTGGTATTGGACTAGTGAACTCTGTAGCTTTGTCTCATGAGAGGTGTCTGCTTTTTCTCATGGCCAGCATGACTGGGATGTAATAGATAAATGACCCAATTCATTTGTAGTTGCAATGACTTGATGCAAACGTGAATCATGCATTGTGACTGGCTTAATTTTCCTTCCTAAACGTCCTTTAATCCAACTCCACATTATTTTAGTAGTTGTTCCTGAAAACTTTACCCCACTTAATATCCATAGACTATTTCAACTATAACAGTGCTGCTGCTGATACTAAGTTGGCTCCTGAGTTTCTTGGCCTTAGTTTTCCTCCTTTAAAATAGAAATTGTAATAGCTGCTATTTAATAGGGGTAAGGTAAGGACAAACAGATTGAAAGTCATGTGGCTGTTTTGTGATCTGGAATTGTAAAAGCACCTTGTGCAGACAGAGTGATGGAAAACTCACTACTTGGCCTGTATTTTGGCAGCACTGACAGTCAGTTCTCAGGAAGCAACTCTGCACCTGGAAGAAAATAACACCCCCAAAAAGAAAATTCTGGGCATCCAAGTTAGATTACCTCTTCTCCTTCCCCACTTTCCTTCTCCAAAATAAATCACTGTGTAGGATTTTGCAGCAGTTTCTAGTGGCTGTGGGTGCAGCTTTTGTTGGTAGTATGGCTGCAAGTCTTTTTCTCCCAGCAGGCTGCTTAGGGAATTCCTTCAGGAAGCTCACATTATATCTAACACACACACACACAAAGCCATTGCCCTAGTTCCCTCAAATATCTGAAATAGCAGAGACGTTTATCCCAGTGTGAGCTCACAGTGACTCCACAGAGTTGCTTCCTGCAAGCTCCATGTATTTTATGCAACTGGTAAAAGGTGAACTCTGTAGTTTGAAAGTTTCCCAGTTACTTCCAAAATGCCATCAGCCAAAGCATGCAGGAATATTTTCCTTTCTTCCTTGCAACCTGAGTTTGATGCTGCAGGCAAAAACAAGCGGCATGTGCTCTTGCTTTTCCCTTTGCTCTCTCTCTGCACTAGGAGGAATGCATTCAGGAACGCTTTGCTGGTGGCATCTCCAGCGTTGTAATCTAAAATAAATTTAATATAGCAAAGCAATTCCACAGCCTGGGGTTCTCCTAGTTGCCTAGTGGCTTTAGCAACATATAATGTGTTGAGTTCCTCAGTTCTGCGGTAGCTTTGAGAATGCTTATATGCAGATTTCAAAAACACAAACTCAGGACACACCGAAAACCAGTGTTTTACTCACAATATTTTCTCATTCTTTATGCAGTGCAGGACATCTGTATGCAATAGCTTAGCTATTATCGCTTAGCTGATAATGCAGCAGTAAGAAAACTCTCACAGATTAGCAAAAGACGGATGAGGGGAATTTTACTTTCCAGGCCTGCAGACAGTGGCGAATCTCTCCCCATATGGAGTGTTGCTGAGGGCCCAAAGACATGCTTCAAGGCGAATCTCACCACCTTAACTGCTTCATTTCTTGCTGACTTGTGCTCTCCTTCCTTATGTAATAATCCCAAAGCACAAACTGAGGGATTTTGTTTTGATTTGTTTTGAGAAAGAAAGCTTCCCTGCTCCAGGGCTGCAGTT